GTTCCAGTTTCTCCACAACCTCGCCAGCATTTGCTGCTTGCTGTTCTGTTAAATTTTGCTATTCTGACTGGGGTGAGATGATATCTCATAGTTGTTTTCAGACCCTGTTTTTTAAAGTAAAAAGCTGACACACAGTAAGTTCAGTGCCCATTTTCAAACTTCAGTTTTAGAAATGGTAGAAAATAATCAGTCACTATAACTGATTCAACAACAACTTACCCACACAAATTTTTTAAAAATTTCTTTTTAAAAAATGAATGAGTTGGGGGTGGGGTGGAGGAAGAAGTATCTCGCCAGATGGTCTATATAATTATTGACAGTTTTTTGTGGCTCACTTTCCTACCACCTGGAACTTGACTACCAACAAGATTTTACAAGTCGTTACAATTCTGAAGCATAATTTTAAAACAAGGAAAGTATCAGAACTTCCTGCAGTGTGTCACCTTCATCATATGGTGGCATGTGACAATTTTAACCTCTCTTTGCACTATTCAAATCACTGTGACAAACTGCATGTAATCCTACCCACATTAATAATAAAAACAAACACTAAACCTTTCAAAGATTTCTGCTAGGAAAAACAATCAGAGGCTATTGTTTCTAGAGAAGGATTTCTAAAACATACAGATGACATCAAAATAGAAGTAGCCAGAAAGCAGTCAGCAACTGCTTTACTTAATCAGAAACCACTGAGGAACAAGCCCTGGGCATGAAGTGTGGCTCCAGGATGCTGACAGGAGGAGGGGCAGAACTCCCAGACCAGCATCTTCAAAGAGCCCCAGGGGAACCGCTAAGGTGCACATGCCTATGAAACCCTTACCACCACCAGGGAGGGTATGAAGACTTCTAAAACCTTTACTAAACTCTTAGTCTTGCTATGAGGCCAGGTATGCGTCAGTAATAAAAGGTAAGACCAGAGGACCGATCACTCTATGAACTCACTGCTAGTAGATGCGGCAGATAAGGAAAAATCATCTAAGTGAGAGGCAGTGTGATTCCACAGGCATGCAGGAAGTATGAATTCCTGAACTTCTTCTGAGCCCTGTTTTATATCAAGAAGAAGGGCTAGAGCTGGCCTCTGTGGTGTTTAGATGACTCCTGCCTTTAGGCTCAGTAAGGGACCAGAGGCCTCCAAATGCTGCAGACACTCAGGCCCATCTTAAAGCAATCCCACAGGATGGCATTTGAGCCTGGATGGGAAGGCGGTTCTGCAGAGGAGGAAGGGGAGAGCAGGCAGCACTATCCTCGGGAAATCCTCATAGCAGCTGCCAATCTCTCATGAGCTTTAAAGCCCTTCAGAACAAGTTTCTAAATAACAGTACCTTAGGCAAAAAAGTTACTGTAATGGAATTTTTACTCCAGTCTGTACTTATGGTCTCTGTAAAGAGGACTAGTTTTGGTTTTACTATCATTGCCTTACAGAGGTAAAATTCAGGATAATTTCAACAATTAAGGTTGAATACATGTCTGCTCATACCCCCAAGACAGGTTCCTGAGTCGCCAGAATACTTACTACACGGAGTTTAAGGTTAACAATCAAGAGAGCTGGACATTGTTATCCTCCTATTACAGAGGAGATCTCGGAGGTAAGGTCCTGACCAAAGTTACACTGCCGGAGAATGTAACACTAAAGCATGCTGGAGCAAGTCTGCCAACTTCTTTGCGCTGGAACAGCACCTGGACAAGAGCTACTTGTCTAAATAAAGGCCATTGCTCAAAAACAAATGAACATAAAATACCGGCTTAACGTAATCATATCAGGTACACAGCAGTAGTAGCTCATAGTTTGTAATTATCAAAAGAATCTAATCCAATTCCATTTAAAAGATAAGTCTTAAAAGAAAACTGAGGAATAAAAATGATTCAACAGCAACTAAATAAAGCATTCTCAAAAAAAGATACAGAGTAAATACAAGTTGGAACAATGTAAACTATTACAAACCATTCTTCACTGGGGTCTTGAGGAGGAGGTATCTCTGTTTCAGAAAGATTTTCTTCTTCATCTTCCCTTTCGTCTGCTTTTGTAAAACCTCTATTTGCACCAAATGCATCTTCCATTTCTTTGCGCTTATCTATGATCTTCTGTGTGAAATCCACAAGGTACATATCTTCTACTTCTTCATCTAGAACATAAAAATCAATTTTGAGTCTCAACATTAAAAAAAAAGGATTCATGGGTTTGGTATGAAGTAACAGGCCTGTTCAGTTAGCTTGACGGTTCATCAGGCAACATGTTCTCTCCTCCTGGAACATTTAAGACACACAGCCATCCTGGGCCTCTGACAGTTAAGCTGTAAAAAGTGTACTACAAAATGTACGTATACTCCTTGAAAAGATCTACATTTCTGCTGCCTTTTCAATGATACTATCTGAGGGGCCAGTTTGACCTGAATACCATTTTAAAATACAACCAGGCCATCAACAAATGAATGGACAGAGAAACTGGTACATCCACACCATGCAATATTATGCAGCAATTAAAATGAGTGAGTTCACAAAACATTACAGAACACAGATGAGTCTGAAAGACATTATGCTGAGTGAAAGATCTCTGTCACAAAGGACAAATATTGCATAAGACCATGGTTATAGCAATTAGACAGCTATGGTAGAGGGAGAGAGCAGGAAAAGAATTGATAGGTCATGAACACTGCACTAGAATAGGTACAGGGAAGGACAACCTGACAGGAATGGGCAATTAGACACTACGTGTGTGACAATTAACCATCTGGAACAGGACAAGCACCAAAAGTGAAATGGAGAGGTGGAGAAAATGTGTCTGACTAAATCAGTGAAAAACCATCTGTGACAATTCCTGAACAGAACCTTAGTTGTCACATGAGAATATTTCTACAGTTTCTGGTTTCTTTTAACCAAATATTTTGTGCTCCCTATTGACACGTTCACAATCAATACTCTTGGCATCAGCAGTCAGGAAATCAAAAGATGAACTGCATTAGGTAAGTCTGCTGTCAGGGACCTTTCCAGAGTCCTGAGAAACAATGGTGTCAGTCCAGAGACTAAGGTGTGCCTGATCTAGTGCATGGTCTTTGCTATTATTTGCTATACAGCAGAGAGCTGGACAATGACTAAGGATGACAAAGTAAGAATTGATGCCTTTGACTTGTGGTACTGGAGAAGAGTCTTAAACATACCACAGACTACCAATAGAGCAAACAGATCTGTCTTGGAGAGGGTGAAACCAAGTTTCTTCTTGGAGGCCAAGATTCTGAAGCTCCATCTCACATACTTTGGGCAGGTAGCCAAGAGGGACCAGTTCTTAAAGGACATCATGCTTGGAAGGACGGATGGACAGCTCAGGAGAGAAAGACCCCAGATGAGATGGATTGATATAGTAACTAGGGCAATGGGGATAGGCGTGTTGGAGTCAGCGAGATTGGCTCAGGACAGAGCAAACTTCGGAGTTGCTGTACATAGGGTCGCTGGGAGTCACAGGCGACCTGACAGCACATAACAACAACACTGCTATGTAGGGAGCTCTGATGGCCTTGTAGTAAGAAGCTGCCTGCAATCCCAAAGGCATGTGGTTCAAATCCACCAGCTACTCTGTGGGAGAAGGATAGGCAACCTCCTTCCCTGCAATATACTGCTTCTGAAAACTCACTGGAGAGTCAGCAGTGACTTCAGTTCTCACTCAACCTCACACAATAACAACAACTCTCTAATCATGAGATGGTTTTTTTTCTTTTTAGGGGGAAGGAAGGTAAGACAAAAAGAGGATATATCTTATTACTCTTATTTCTGTGCTGTCACAGAGTGATCTATTTGCTCCTTGGAGGCAAGAATTTTTAATTTTAAAGACCTGTGATATATTCTGGGTATGTTGCAAGGAGAATCAGTCCTTGGAGAGGGATATCATGAGTGGAAGGGTAGAGGGAGAGGAAGACCTTGGATGAGATGGATTGACTCAGTGACTAGGGTATGATGTTAGGTGTGCTGGAGGCAATGAAATTGGCTCAGGCTTGAGCAGGGTCCAGAGCTATTTACGGAGGGTTGCTATGAGATGCAGGAGATGTGATGGCACAAAATAACAACATTCTTGGTTATTTTAACAACTAGCAAAATACATTCAGGAGTAAGAACGCAGAAATTAAAGCAAAAATAATTAAATTTACCTAGAAAGTTTCCTTTAGTCATTTTTTCATATAATTTGGCTTTTTCTTCCAATTTTTCCCTAGGAGAAAAAAAAGGGGGCAGGTTAAATATTAGAAATGGTCTGTAAGTCTGCTCCTCCCTCCTCCAACCTCAAGCCAAAAGTGTCCATCTGCCAAGAGCCCCATCCTCCTTCAGAAGGGACCTGAGACCCACTCATACCAGCACACAGCCCAAATTATATAACGTTCCTACACAGGGTTCCCACAGTCCCTAACAGGCCCCATCTCCTACTCCTTGGCAGTTCCCAAATTTGTTCAGCACTTGGCTCTTTAACTTCCTGTACACCTTTCTCCTATCAGGATTCACAGAAATGATCCATCCAGAGCTCTGATCTTATCCCCAGTGATGTTTATTCCAGACCACTGCAGACACCCACCCCCTGGATCCTAATAACTCCATTTCAAGCACTGCTCTCACTTGTTTCTTTGACCCACTTTCCCACTGTCTATCAGACCTCTCAGTCCTTACTCCCTCCCTATCGAGCTCAGTGCTCTGGTCATTCCCTACATCATGCCCTTGAAAAGACCACATCTCCCTCTGTTGTTATCATTCAGTAAAACTTAATACAGGTTACAACTCACTCTAAAACTATCCTTGGCATGTGAAAAGAGGCTGAAGAAAAACACACAACTGTACCAGTGATTTTCACATCAAATCTGTGGCTGGAAATCTGAATTGGGCCCTTAGCACCACCTGGTAATCTCAGACTATCTTTACTGTAAAATTTATTTTTCACTCTCCTTCCCGCCAAGCCTTCACACATCCTCCCTCCCTTTCTCTATTAAATTACTGTAGAGTTGGAACCAATTCACACCTTTTTCAGGGGCTCTGTATTGCATGGGAGGAGACCACCCATCTTTCTTCTCAGGAGCTGCTGGAGAATATGAAATGCTTGCCTTTGGGTTGGCAGCACAACTCCACAGTGGTTCTCAAAGCCCTTGAACTAGCAGCATCATTATCACCTGATAAATGCATGTTCTCAGGCCCCATCCAGGCCTCCCGAATCAGCATACCTGATGGAGGTAACCAGGCATCTGTGTTTCAACTAACCCTCTTGAGATTCACCCTGGTTAACAAAATCAATCTGATATTGATGTTGATATGGAGCTCTGGTGGCCTAGTGACAAGAGGCTGTGCTGCAACATCTAAGGCACGTGGTTCGAGCCCACCAGCTGCTTTACAGGAGAAAGAAGGGTGGGCAATTTCCTCCTATGCAATTAGCTGTTTCTGAAAACCGGCTGAAGGGTCAGGTCAGTTCCAACTCTGATACCCAACAACATGTGCCGCCAAGTCAGAACCAACTCACAGCTGACCCTCCAGCAGTTTTCAAAGGTTGGGTAAATTGCATGGGAAGAGCCTGCCTGACTCTCCCTCTTGGAGCTACCAGTCACCTTTAGGTTAGCAGCTTAACTCCGTATAGACTACAACACCAGAGCTCCCTTGTGGGGGATAATGCATGTACTCTACAAATTAAGTGTATGTTTCCCCAGGGAAACTATATTATCAAAGACTAATGTGCAGTAAT